CAGTAAATTATGTGTATTTGGGTATCTCGAATTCCGAGATTCTTACCTAATTTAAGCTTAAATGACTGGATTATTTTGGCAAATTCACTCATGCAAATTCAATCACACAATTACGATCATCATTTGAGAAAGTCGTCAGAAAATAAACTCATTCCGCTCGAGTTCAGCATGAATTCAACGGTGTAAGAATATGCGAAACAACAAAATTCCTTATTATCGTTAAACTCGAAATCTTGATCCTTATCAAACCAAACACCCTCCGGCGAATCCCAATCGAGAAACTCAGCATAAAAGAACATCTCAATTACAAATTAGATGAAAAAAAGAAGCAAATTAGGAACAAAACGAACATTCAGGAATTTTCACTGGAGTCATGAAAAATCTGCATATTCACTCATCTCTAATTGACGTAAATTCCTCAGTCCCGTTTCATCCGACATGGAAACAAATGAAATTACCAAACTTTTCCTACGCCCGAATTATGTGAGATGAAGAGGGCGATTTTCATGGAGCCTACTGAAGGTGGGATGAAGATAACGAGGGATTTTTCCACTCGCCCGAGGACTTTCCCGAATATTTCGTTTGATGCTCTTGATGAATGGCATTTTTCTGCTGTTATCATTAGCTACCCACGCAATAGAATGTTCCACGACTGGAAACACTGAAACGTATATAATATACAGGGTGTATCTTGAATGATGTCGTTAATTTCTGGTCGTGAATATTTGTCATATTTCATGAAAAAAGAATCATACAGATATGTGTCCCGACTTGCTTCGTTTCCCAGCTGCGGTATGTCAAGAACGAAAAGTGGGTTTCCCATATATTTCAAACGTGAAACTATTCAAATCATATTGAAAAAAATTAAAATGTACAAAAACCAAATCAACCATCTGGAATTCAAAAACCTGCGAGCTCGTTCTAAGGAACTCATTCGCCTTGATTTTCTAGAGTATTCTAAAAATATGGAAGATGAAATCGATAGGAACTCGAGAATGTTTTGGAAATTCATTAATAATTTGAGAAAAAATACAAATTGTATCCCACGCTCATTATATCTTGACAATGAAACTGCAGATACCAGGAACACAATTTCTAGCCCTTTCGCTGAAAATTTCGAAAACAACTTCATCCAACCAACATATTTGATCCAACTTTCCTCATCTCTCCAGTCAAATTTGTCGAAATAAATGAATATACTAACTGACAGCTATTGACTCGTTAGATATAAAAAATGTGAAGGTCCTAATGATATACCCGTTTCCTTTGTTGAACATTGCAGGAACAACATTGTCTCGCCTCTACTTTACAGCGTGACTCATGGTCGATGGTAGGTTAGCCCACACAGCACTAGATATTCATGGAATATTCCCTGTATATCAAAAAACGAACGTATATATTCCAAATATTCATAGAATATTCTTGGAATATATACATGCCTTTAGAATATTCATAGAATATGCTTGAATGAATATGGCAGGATTATTCCCGACAGAATGTGCATAGAATGTCTATAAATGGATTATTCTCCCTTGAATATTCTAAGAATATTGTCGATCGAATATACCATATGGTATATTCTTAGAATATC